AAGCTGCTCGTTTCTCTGATATCATGGGGCTGAAGCTGCGCAATAACTCATCCATTGGTGGGCTCTCCATCGGACTTTTGACCATGGGCTCGCAGGAATCCTCGTCTTTCGATAAGAGCGAGGAACTAAGCGTAGATGAGATCAAAGTCGCCCTATACGCCACCCACGTAAAAGCTAGGCTCAAGGCATGCTCGACCGTACTGGAGTGGATTCGCGAATGGAATGACACTGTCGGTACCTACGCAGCACCGCTCTTCGGGCCTCTTGCCAATGTGTTTGACGCAGCACACCGCGATGCCGTCAAGTCCGCTTACAGACGTATCCACTCTATCGTACTTGGTGGTAGCGACTTGACCACATACGTTGCGAAGATGCTCAACCCCCATCTTAGAGGTGGTCTGGAGCGTATGTCTTTTGATCTTGAGCCCATCATCTACCTCCCGCAATCTTACGGTGGCCTCAGTGTAAAGACTCCGTTTGTCGCTTTAGCATCCGCCGCCAAGATTAGTGAATCTGGTTCCGGAAGGATCGAAAGATATCTCGGCGAAGAGGCTGCCTACTACGAAAAAGCCGCAGACCGATACACTCTGGCGTCAGGCCAGCGTCAGCAAAGGCTCGAAACAATTTTCAACAATGACCTATCAAGGATGATCTCAGCGCTTGGTTCTGAAACCACATCCAGCGTATGTCTCGACGCCCTTCGGTTCATGACGGAAGCTGAGATGACGGAACATCGCGAACGTACTCCATACCCACTGCTCACCAGTTACTTCTGGAAGCTCGGTCCAGTGACAGTGCCTGATCTTCTCAGCCTCTATCATGATCTACTTCGCGAGGACACTGATCGCATTGAAGAAAGCCAAAGGACCAAGCGAGAGGTACAACGTCTTTCCCGAACGAGGGATCTGAAAGACTGGTACAGAGTGAGCCAGCTGGAAAAATGGACGTTGCAGCTCTATAGCGAAGAGTGCTTTGAGAGGTACGGCGGCCTTGAAGTCTGGTGGGCTGAGGGCATGCCCGTGGAAGTCTACAACAGCCTCAGAGGTCACATGTCGGATGACGACGACGACGACGATTGTAGTTCAATGGTCTCAATAGTTTAGCCCAGACGCCCAGGCGAGAGGGAATCAGGTGGAGTGATGCCTAGTTCAGTTGCCCGGATGCGATGCGCGCTTCTCTTCTGTCGATACCGTCTATTTACAACCGTCGCTTCCGAAGGTATGTCATGAGTCTGTCGCGTTTCTTTCGGGTCTCCTAAATGCTCACGGTAGCTACGAATCAATGAATCATTCACGACGCGTCTCCATTAGTGCAGCGCGAAGATCGCGACCCCAGGCGTCGTGACCTTGCAGGAGCGGCAATGCCACCCCACAAATGACAAGAGGTGATGTTCTGTGACGGGCAAAGGATGCGCGCGACTTTGAATAGAGGGTCCAGTAGCGATGGTGAGGGCGGGAGCGATAGCGTTGTTGCTGTCAGAAGGGTGGATGATGGCGATGCTGTGCGCAAGATCGTGCAGCCTTCGGGATCTCGGAAGCAATCGTTTCCGATCGGACAACGTGACACACGGCGAAATTCTACTCAAGGCTCTTCGTCCATGCCAGACCTATGAAACGAAACACATTTTCCGAAAAAGTAATAATGAGCAGGATAACTCATATAGAGCGCCGCCTCATATTGGTGGATTCATGCGGTGCTCGCGCATGGGACACGTAGTTCTCCCCGCACGTTCCGTGCATTCACTCTGTACCACCGGCTAAGAAGGCCAAGCCTTGCTAAGCTTTGTAAAGGATCATCAAGCCTTGTCTATCTACAACACAAGCGCTACGCCACCATGCCCTAGAACGTCTAGACAGCGTGACTAGCAACACCTGTTATTTCCTCACATCTACCTAGGTGTCTTCCACCCATGCACCCTCAGTACCTACAACCGCGACGTCTCGACGGGAAAACCTCGTGTCGCAATGGAGGCCGAATATAAGACATCATTTGGCAGGCCGTGCCATCTCGGGCCTACTCTAGATTGTTCTCTTGCAATGCGTTTTACGAATGCGAGCATGTTGCGAATGCGAGATTCATGGACGACTGCGAGAGGTAGTATATACATCTCTTGTCCATTGCCCGTAATGCTGCACTATGAATCCTTGGCTTCCATTCTTTAAGCACTGGTCTGTTATTCAATTTCGCTAGATTGACTTCAATTCACACCGAACTCTTCGTCCCTGTATTCCATTCTCGCCAAGACGAAACCGACAAGATGCTGTCCAAGCTGGCCTTTTTCCTCGCTTCTTCCAACGTTGCTTTCTCTGCACCAAGTCTCGACCCCCGTCAGGCAGTAACCATTGCCGTGGACTCCAGTAAGACTTTCCAAACGATTGACGGCTTCGGTATCTCCGAGTTCTACGGTCGCGCTGGGAACATCAAGTCTCTGGCAGCTGCTGCTCAGAAGCAGACCCTCGACCTTCTCTTCGATCCTACTACCGGCGCTGGCTTCAACATCCTGCGCAACGGCATCGGCTCTGGCCCATCTAGCGGCTTCTCTATTGAGCCCAACAGCCCCGGGTCACCCACTGGAACACCAAAGTACCAGTGGGATGGCTCCGACAACAACCAGGTTTGGTTGACGAAGCAAGCGCAGGCTCGTGGCCTCAAGACCATCTATGCCGATGCGTGGTCTGCTCCTGGGTTCATGAAGACGAACGGTAAAGACTCAAACGTAAGTACAACTACCCAAACGGGGATTGGAAGCGATAGCTAACTTGCTCCAGGGAGGAAGCCTTTGCGGTGTCGATGGCACGTCCTGTGGCAACTGGACCCAAGCTTACGCCAATTACCTCACACAATACGTCAAATACTACAAGCAGGAGGGTATTGACGTGACCCATCTCGGCTTCCTGAACGAGCCCGACTACACGTAAGTCTTTCTCTTTTCTTCGCGCAGATAATCTGTTACTGACGGACCATAGCACCGCCTACTCTTCCATGCGGTCGACTGGTCAGCAGGCCGCAGACTTCATCAAGGTTCTCGCGCCAACCGTCAAGGCCTCTGGTCTGAAGGTAAAGCTCACCTGCTGCGATGCCACCGGTTACAACGCTCAGAAGGCCATGCTTCCGGGACTCGCTGCAGTCGATTCCCTGTACGACGTCGTCACCACCCACGGTTACAGCTCCGACCCTACAGCCCCCTTCGCTACTTCCAAGCACATGTGGATGACTGAGACTGCGGATCTCAGTGGCAAGTGGACAGCCAGCTACTACACCAACGGCGGAGCGGGCGAGGGTCAGACCTGGGCCAACAAGATCTACACTGCTCTCGTCGACGCAAACTTCTCTGCATACCTCTACTGGGAAGGCGCTGAAGACGCCGGCACCAACCCTACCAACTCCGTTCTTATTGACATCCACGGTGGCGTTGTTGCGCCTTCCAAGCGCTTCTGGGCTATGGCGCAGTGGAGCCGCTTCGTCAAGCCTGGTGCCGTTCGCGTCAGTGCTGGTGGCAGGACCAGCACGCTCAAGACATCTGCCTTCAAGAACACTGATGGCTCAGTCGCTGTGCAGGTCTTGAACACTGGCGCCTCAGCAGCGACCGTCAGCATCACTGGTGTCTCTGGCAAAGCATCTGCTTTCATTACCAACGAGAGCCACGGGCTTGATGCGATGACCGGAAACAGCGTGCCCGCGCATTCCATGGTCACTTTCCTTTACAAGTAGATGCTCTCTCCGTGAGAGTGTATACTTCTTCGGCTTTGCAAGTATGACCTTGCTTTTGCAAGCTGTACGCTTCTGTTCTCCTAGTGTTGACACACCCTATTTCCTTGTATATAATTATCATAAACTGTTCAATCGCTGCCGTCTTTATTAGTGCGCCATCGTATATGGAGTTGTATTGAGACGAGAATTCTTTCCGAGGCGCTTTTGACTGATGCTTGACTACAGCAAAGACGTCGTCATCTAGCTGAATTGCGCAGTACCTGAGTAACACTACATCGAAATGTGGGATGGATGGTCGGTCGCTTGAGAGAAGGGCTGGCGCGAACTTTTGCGGCGCCATGTACGAAATGAGCCTAGTGGCGGGGAAGCCGTTGATGCCGCCCTGCACCCGACCCTGCCAAAGGATCGATGTAATCTCAATCATCTGCAGTGTCGCGGCGTAGCTGTATCTACATACGGTACATCCATACGCAATATGCCTCGACGAGCGACGGAAGAGTATTGCTCGATATGCTCGTCGCTGGTCATACGCGTCCGATATCGAGGAGCCACCTGGCATACCTTTCACCCACCTAGGTATCATCGCACAGCTTCATGGCAAAGAACTAGACCAAATTCCTCCTCCGCGGCCCGACGGCGAGCATCTTCCCACTAGACATGCGGTACGGCACGCGTGCAGAGGGCTAGGCTGCAACCGACCCGATCCCGTGCGCTGGCTTTCGGGTATGCAGCAGCTCAGGTCGTTTGCGCGGTTTGACGCTCTTCACGTGGGCCTTTGCAGATGAGAAAGATAACCCCAAGTCGTTGTGCATCTATAAAGTCGGCTTTCGCGCTTCCTTCGTTGAGAATCCTGTAGTCTCTTCTGATCCCCAAACCGGTCACCATGCGGCTGTTGTTCCCCTTTGCGACATTGCTCTTGTCCGTGGTGTCTCAGGTTTTCGAGCCTGCCGACTTCAGCGTCACCGAGGCTCTCCTTGATCAAGGCATCAATGTCTCCGCACTGCCAGAGTTAGCCGGCCTTACAGATCGGTCATCCAACCTGGCCTGAAACATCGCCGTGAGTATCTTCAAGCAAGTAGCTCAGAGCTAATGCTAAACCACAAACAGTGTTCTTCGCTGGAGGTCGTCTACGGAAACAATTCTGTCGAATTCCAGGATGAGGCCGGCTACTCCGCGTTCACATCCAGCTTCTGGTCAGGAATCTCGGCTGAGGTCAGGCCATACTGTATCTTCAAGCCCTCGAGCCCGGCCGCTGTTTCGGTAGTGGTACTTTTGTCTCGGCTGTCAAAATGTCCGTTTGCCGTCAAGTCGGGTGGTCACAGTGCGTTCGCCGGCGCTGCTACTATCGAAGGAGGTATCACTGTATCTTTCGAGAACATGAAGGGTATCGAGCTTTCAGACGACAAGAAGACCGTCGCAGTCCAACCAGGGAATGTATGGGGTAATGTGCTTATCGCTTTGTCGACCACTGGCGTCACAGTCGTATCTGGAAGGATTGGTGATATCGGCGTCGGAGGACTCACCCTCGGTGGCGGCATATCGTTCCTCACGAATGAGTACGGTCTAGCTTGTGACAACGTCGCTAGCTATGAAGTAAGTTTGATGCGCAATTCTACGGTATCGTGCTCCTCTAACATTGACCAGGTTGTCACGGCAAGCGGCATCATGGTAACGGCAAGCCCGACAACCTTTTCAGACCTCTACTGGGCTCTTCGCGGTGGCGGCAACAACTTCGGCATCGTAACCAGCTTCAACCTGACAACAAAACCCCTCGAAAACGATCAGATCTGGGGAGGGACCCGCACTTTCACTGAAGACAAATTCCCGAATGTGATCAAGGCGTGGATGGACCTCACGCTCAACTCAGCCCAAGACCCCAAGGCCGGTAGCTGGGTTGCCTGGTTGGACAAAGGCGCAAAGCTTGCTTCAACCGAGCTCTGGTACGGCGCACCGGCTGGTAACGAGTCGGCTATCCTCGCACCTTTCTACAACATCACTGCCGTAGCTGACAGCACAAAAACGCGAGGCCATGCCTCTTACGTCATCGACAATGAAGCTACCAACAAGTATGGGCTTCGTGAGGTCTATTACGTTATCTCAGTCAAAGCGTCCTACGAAATTGCCGAAAGCTCCGTGGACACCTTCTACGATTCGATCGGCGCGCTTTCCGCCGTCGAAGGCGCATATCCCGTTCTCATCTGGCAGCACATCACCGACGGTTCCCTCAAAGGCAGTACCCGCAACGGCGGCAGCGCGATGGGTTTCGACGCCAACGGCAGCCCTATCCACATCATCCAGCTAGCATGCTCCTGGAACAACGCAGCGGACGACGACACGGTGTACCAGGTCATGTCAGACATCATGGAGGCGATCAAGAGCGAGGCGGTAAAGCTGGGTGTGCAAAACGACTGGGTATATATGAACTATGCGGCGATGTTTCAGGACGTCATTGCAAGTTATGGGTCGGACAGCAAGAGTAAGATGAAGACTGTTGCGAGCAAATATGATCCGAAGGAGGTGTTCCAGAAGCTGCAGCCTGGGTACTTCAAGTTGGATCGTGCGCCGGTGCCTGATGCGAGGTACTTTTCGTACTGAGATCACATTGGAGAGTGCGGGGCGTAGATACCAATTAGCAATAAGCAAGACGATTAATCATCATAACCTTCCCTTGTGTGTACTCTGGGTGATAAGCAATCTGATTTATAGATAATGAAATGTTGACGAGCGATACAGGATCGGACAGGTAGGAAATGGCTCTTAGTCAAAGTTGGGGCGATGATCTGCTTACCTGGATTGTACGGTCTTGAAGTCCACTCCTTCTTCCTCAATCACCCCTTTCAGTATGCTGTTCCGGTACGCTTCTCAATCTTCTTTGGGTCTATCTCGTAGTAGCGCGGAGACGTACTGGCATTCTTCGTCGAACTCTTCCATGTTACCTATGATGCACGGAAACTGCACAAGAGAGTTGCCTGGAAGGATATGCTTTACTGACGTAGGAAGCAATTCCGGGACGCTGCAAGCAGCGTCTTTCTCGTTCGCGAAAGCCAGTGCAAGATCATCTCGCGTCGGGAACGGAGAACGTTGGTCGTGCGTACACGCCATAGCTGCAGCATGTAATGCTGCGACAGCTCTGATTTTGTTCCATACGAGTTGGACGGTGTCAAAAGGTCCAATGAGCTGGGTCTTGAAGGGTAGATGAGTATTCCGACCCCAAGATAAGCTAGTCGCTTCGTTGATCCAAGTGATGGTGCGAAGTACGGCATCAGATACGCTGCAATCCGCCCACCAATCCTCCATGTGCTGTGATTTACTCATTTCCGCGAGCTTCCCGTAGTCATGTGGGAATCTACCCCATCGTCAGCGGTGTTTTGGCCAGAACGGTGGCTTGCAGTACTTACACGCATCGCCAGAGGTCAACATGTCTATCCACAGATAATCCAGGGGCCTGATCAGAGACGGATAGCAATCCTCGCAAATGACATTGTGGCAGCGCTACGCACTTTTCGTTTTCCAGAATCTTGATCTTTCGCATCTGCTTCCGAGACTGGGTTTGGAGCATATCCACAAAGCGGACGGCTTGTGACGCGGCCGATTGGAAGTATTGCAGAGAAGCTAGGTTATCTTCATAGCTGGACCAGGCTTTCGGACATGGCGTCTCGAACAGATCTCGCAACCTGGACATTTCTTCGTCCGTAGCTACAATCCAAGGTTGCCAATTGATCTTAGCCACGATTAATCGCATTTCCTCGAGGCGCATGAGGCTGAGTTGTTCTGCATAGCGTACATCATGTTCGGCCTTGAATACTGGTTCCTTCCCGACACGGGACCAAGCAGTCGATCTTTTCTCCATCTGGACCAAGTGGGTACTGCGTGAGAGCGGTGGTCGTGAGGTGAGGAAGCCGAGGATGTCGATAAACCAACCCCGCGATCTAAGCCGTTCTGCAAAGCCGGCATGCGAGGTCAGTTGCATGAGGCTCCCCTGTATAACCTCGCGATCATAGTATGTCATCGTCTGCGGGCCGCCCATAACAGCTGCGAGGGGGACATAGTCTTTGTTTGCATGTTTCATAATCCGTGCCATAATGTCGCCTATGCAGCTTTCAGGATGACGTTGCGAGATCTGTCTCGTGGCCGATGTGGTATCTATAGCAGGACCGTAAGCAACATTCGGTATTGGTAGATGCGGGATAAGAACAAAGGTTGACTGACCATGTGTAGTCGCCGCCAACGCGAACATCTCTTCCTGCAAAAGATGAAGCCGCCCTAACAAGAAGTCGTACTTGCCAGCCTGCGACCACGCGCTCCAGATGTCAGACCCTTCAGGCGAGGTCTTGACATCTTGAAAGGGCCTAAAGACCACTTCATTCACCCTCAGTGGCAGATCTCGCATCTCGCTAGCGACCATCTTGCAGGTCCACACCAAGCTGAAATCGATGATCTGGCCATCGTAACACCGAAGCTTGTTGGTGCTCGGGGAGTGTACGTAGCCTCCAGGCTCTTGTAAGTAGTAAGTGTAGATCTCATCGCGGAGTTCTCGGGGCAGACCCAGAAGACGTGATTGTCGCTGCTGGTAAGCAGGTTGCGTTGTCATAATTAGGTGGTGTGGGAGAGGTCAAGTGATGGGAGTAGGCACATATTATAGTGAGATAGGAAAGGACACATGCCATGTAAGGACAACTTGGCTTTGAGCGTGCGTCAGGCAGCAGCATTAAATCCTGTAGCCTTTGCGAGTTCGATACGCGGACGCGTCAATGATGCGACACAAACTCGGTAGAGCCAATCTTGGGGTCCCTCAGTTTGAAGTTCGGGTGCACTAGCTACCCGTAGCTACGCTTTCCTCCTCTGCGTCTCTGCCGAACACGTGTGTTATCTCCTCTACACATTGCCAAAGCCCTTCGAGTTCCTTATCGCCAACCCCAACTTCCCCTCCAACAACCCCTTGTCGCCATAATCTGGCAAATACAGCTTCCCAAAACACGTGCTACTACTCGGCAAGCTCCCCGGGCTTCCCATGATCCTAACGATATGGAACGTGATACTCTCGTAGCCCGTAACAGGGACACGGTCAGACGCAGTAACGAACTCGAGAAGCCGGCGGAGGTCTTCTTGACTGTAATGCTCAACCACGTCCCAGAAAGCGCGGATGTTGGAGTGGGTGGGAGTGTAGCCGTCTTCGTATTTTGTGCAGCGTTTGAGGTCGGGGATGGAGATGTGTTGGGTGCCTTCGATGAGGTGGCGGAGGGAGTGTGGGGTGAAGAGTTGGAGGCTCTTGGGGTGGATGCAGGTGAGGAAGCCGTGCAGGAAAGGGATGAGGTTTAGGGCGACAGAACTGTATGTCAGGGCGCGGACGTAATCTTTGACGTATTGTACGCGATTATCGTTCGTGACTAGACCGGGCTCTTCGATCGGCCTGTTTGATGTAGCGAGCGCAGGGAAGTCGTCGCCCAGATTCTGGTCGACCGGCTGGCCAAAAGCCTCATAGCTGAATACGTACTCGCGCATGAAGACATCCTTCACGTCGCCCTCGCTCCAGGACAAGAGCGTGCGGAAACTTTCTGCGAGGCCGGGCCAGCCGTCTTTGATGTAGTCCACGGGGTCGTAGTCGGCTGGACCTTCGACGCGTGGGTTGCCGAGGGTCTGGAGGTACTCGTAGAAGGCGAGGGGAAAGGTGATGGGTAGGGTGATGCCGTTGTAGACAGCAAGACTGAATAGTATACCGAGCATCTGGAACTTCCATGGAGGTTCAAAGCTGCCTGGTTGGAACCACGTCATGTGCGCCTGTGGATCGATCGTGAACATGCCTGGCAAAGTTAGTCGAGTAGTTTGCAAGAGTCTAATGTGGCTCACCATTCTCGGGCCTGAATGCTTCACTCAAGACCACACGGAAAAACTCGTACGTCACGCCGCCGTGATCCGCACCGACTTCTCCTTCGTTGTGACCCATCTTGACCTTTAGCGGTTTCAGCAACATCCTCTTGTCCATACCCCAAAGCTGATCAAGCGTGTCCTTCAAAGGCTCTTCCCGACTGACATCCAACACTAGGTATTCACTCAGGGTAGTCTTCATTTTCCTCTTAATAATCCACCAATACGGTTCTTTGAGAAACATCTCCAGCGACTTCTGCATTTGGTGATTGCGCATAGTATGGTCGTACTGCTTCATCATCTCGGTAAAGTTGATTGTGCGGAAGTAGGCAACGAGATGCTGCGCGGAGAAAAGGCATGGGTACTCGAAAACGTGTAGAGTATTGGGGTGATGCTCCCAGGTGAGGTAGTTGATAGGCTCATTTACCGTGTCAATGCGCTCATCGAGTATCGGCATTTCGAACATGTTGGAATGTAAGTGTAGAGCTTGCCGCTTCGCATCTGTAGATGTTAGCTTAGTTATAGTAGAAACATCCTTCATGCTTACGAAGTTTGTCGAGGACCATTACGGCTGTGCCAACACTGCTCCACTTGTTGATTTCAGCCTTGCTGTCCCATTTCTTGACGATGATAGTCCTCAGCCACTCCATAAAAGTAGCGGTCACCGTCCACCCTGGATCTCCATCGCGATCATGGCTCGAGTTCAGCCTCATCTTTGTCGCCATACCGACGCGCTCTACCACCTCTAGATGTTGTATAATCATATTCACAAGCCCGACGGAAGGTGTAACTTGTTCTGACTCATCCCGTTTTGTTTCTGCGACGTCTAAACTGGCGAGTATATGTTCGAAACAAGTCCGCGTTCCGATAGCCCGGAGTAAACGATCGGCAAGACGCACTGCCGGTTCGTACTCCAACTCGTCGATGATGTCCATGTAAGGATGCGCGAAGGCGTCGGTATTGGGAGTAGCAGTTGGCACCATGACACCCCAAGATCGAAGCTTCCGTATTTGAGCCCATGTGTGCGGCCATCCAAGCGGTACCAGTGAAGTGAGTGCGTGTATGCATATCATGACAATATGAGCGGCTTCATGGGTGTCGAGATAGCGCGAGTTACCTTGATGACCACTGGATGACTGGTCGGATGGACTGTTATTGGAAGCGCCCTTTCTTAATGGCCTCAGACGAGGACTCTTCTGAATGTCGAGCTCAGGTGGGGAGACGAATAAAGCATCCAGCGCGAGCCATAGGCTATCGAAGATGAGCGCGCCGTTGCGATGATTCCAATCTCTGAAAGAGTTGGCTAGGCGTGATGAGTCGAGATGAGGTAAGGGTGAGTCTTTGAAGTCTTGGTTGGTATCATGGAATGATGCAAGTAGCTTTTCTGGGTCGCTCAGGGTATAGAACAGAGATCGGTTGACGAAGGGTTTTGTACGTCGAGTACGTCGCCGACAATCAAAGTCCACAACGTAATTGAAGTCTGTACAACGGCTTTTTCCATGGCGATGGACATCGTCTTTGAGCTCATCGAGGATACTGCAATCCAATGTCGGGACAACGGGTGCACCGGATGATGAACGTTCCTCAGCAGGGGTGTTCTTCGTAGGTAGTTCGGTTGCTGCTGATGATGGCTTCGCGCGAGGCGCAGCAGCCGGGTATGTCCCACCGATAGTGAAGCTTTTCTTTCCTGTTTTCGAGATTGATAGCATTACTGCATCGGATGTGCCATCCACGGCAGTAGGATGTGCTGCTGAAGGAGGATGTCTTTGAGTCGTGCCGTTCGAGGGATGGTATGGTATCCTGTGGACATGGTGCCCGTTAGCCAGGACCTCAGCGCCAGCGTTGTCTGGCTGTGAACTGTCACGAGTGGCGGCTGATAGATGTGAATGCTGACGAACGATACGCGAGTTTTCATTCGATTGTGATACGTTCGAGCCGTTTGTACCAAGCGTTGGCCCGGTGTTTGAATCCGCATCATGCCCGTCTGGTCGGGAAGGCGGTATAGCGGAGGTTTGAGTAGAACGAGCGTCATGTACAGGAGTATGCTCGGATTTGCGAAGTGAAGCAAGGACAGAAGCAGGTGTGGGTATTTGCGTGGTATAAGAGTATATCATAGTCAAGCTGTCGTACAAGTTCTGACTAAGAGCCTTTGGGTCTTTTCTAGCTTGCTGCCGTTGCTTGAGGGTATTGAGCAAGTCGCCATCCAGCTCTTGTTGACCACTATTTCCCGCACGACGTTGCCTGCGCTGTTGTGCCAGTTGCCATACCGAAGGATAGACAAGGTAGTCCTCGGCGGAGTCGTGCCTAGCATGTTGGGCAAGGCTATTTGTAATCTCGAATGACTCAGGCGCGACCTTGAGCTCATGGGGGCAGAGGCCGCGGTTCGGGTTGTCTTGACCGGCAATGTAATGGGCTAGGGCGGTGGCCGTGAGCAATGTAGGAGGACGGTGTGGTCTGGATGCGATGCGCTTGCCGGATGAGAGGCACGTGGGGGTATCGCAGTAGGCACTCTTACAGCCATGTAGGATCTGGGATAGGTAGCTAGTCAACAGTCAGCATTCGCTCCAAAAATGAGAGGGCGTGATGGGCGCACCGTCGGACAAGATGTTGGAAGCGGCGCTGTCTTTCTGTCTGTGAGCATTCCAGGACGCGTTTGGTGTCTTGTACGTCTATCACATCTTTCCTACGCGAGCTGTTCGAAACACGTGATGACCGTGTCGATGGTCCAGCCGCTGCAGAAGCCGATGAGGTGTGGTTGGTGGCATTGTACGGAGCATCGCGAGGGTGCTCAGTCCCGTCTGACATGCTCATATCATCGATGGCGATGTTGTTGCAAGAGAGAGTGGCGGCTAAGGATGCGGTCTGGTATTGTATGTGCGAGTGTCATGGTATCGCATAGCCACTCGAGGCGTACTATAGAAGACGATAGGGCTGAGGTAGTGGCCGAGGGGTGCTCTTGCCCTGCGGCTCTAATCCGCTGCAGGGATGGCAGGTGCCAGTGGCTTGGCACAACGCCTGCCGATTGATGTCATGCCTGTGCGCTTGAATATTCGCCCCAAGTCGGCCTTTTGCGCAATTCACCACTTTCGCCGTGCGCAGGACTGCTGATAAGACGCTGAATCCGTCTTCCGCGCCTCCTCAACTTTGTAATCACGCCCTGCTCGGCCTAGTCGATTTTTGCCCCTCGGCCAGTCATAAAGTCGTGAAATCGTCGGCGCTACCACATCCCACACTCAACCCCACCTATCGCCTATATTTCTACTCCTCCCTCCGAGTACAACCACACCGTCAAGCCCAACTACACTCGCAAAGATGGCGTCGCAAGTTCCTTCCCAGGCTAACATCCAGTCTACGCATCCCTTCACTTGCAACACATGCCAGGTCGCCTTCCGATCGAGCGAGTTGCAGCGGGCGCACATGCAGACCGACTGGCATCGCTACAACCTCAAGCGTCGCGTGGCCTCGCTCCCACCGCTATCCTCGGAGATCTTCACCGAGAAGGTTCTTGCGAACAAGGCCACCGCTGCCGCCACTGCCGCCAAGGCGTCGTTTGAGAAACTGTGCACCCCATGCCAGAAGACGTACTTCAGCGAAAATGCGTACAACAACCACCTCAACAGCTCCAAGCACCGCATCAACATGGCCAAGTCGGGCAGAGGCGCGCAACTAGACGACGCCGCCTCAGTGACTGGCTCCATGGTCAGCTCTGCCTTCTCGCTAGGAGAG